TTTGAAATGAAGCACGGCACATTGTGGTTTTTTTTGTTTGTTTTTGACACACTAATATTAGTATGTGTTAGGTGCAGGCGATTCACAATTAGAACTTGGTAAGATTCATTATTCACATAGCAGCTCACAAGCGTACACGTTTGAACTGGCCTATAAGATATGCAGATGAGTCATGTAAAGATATATATCTGTCTATAAGAGACTGGGTGAGCCCATAACATGTTTTTTTTCCTGGAAAGGGGCTTTACTTCTTCTGTAACTGCAATAATATTAAACATTTATTGTAGTTGCAAATATTGTTTAGCATTCAAAGGCCAACTACAGCCAAAATCCTCTCCATAATTTTGGATAGAAATGTCTACAGCTGTCCTTGACCCCTTTGGGGAAACTTTGCTTCACTTCCTGTCCTTGCTACAGCAGAGGCAGAAATAAAGGTTGTAACCCTTACACATTTCACTATAAAAAGGGGTGGTTGCCATCTGTGACCCCACTGGAAAGATTTCTGTCATGGAAGAACAACTGAGAGGAATTCTCCCCAATGGGACTGCAAATACAATCCTAACAGAACTGCTATTCCTTTCCCAATCTGCCCAAGCTAAGTTGAGATTTAACCTCTTGGCACCGGCCGCATGTAAATGTGCGGCCTCCCGGCATCTGGGCCTTGACACCGAGCAGCCGCACATTTGCATGCAATTAAGAAAGACATATGTGCTGAAAGCGCACGCCCTGCAAACTCCCAGCACACATGTCCAGTACTCACGGAAAGGTCCCGATCTCCTCTTTCGATCGGGACCTTTCCCGATCATGTGACTGCCGTGAGGGCGTGTCACGGCGGTCACTAGACCCTAAACCCTGCCACGCCTCTGAAACCCTTAAAGGGCCAGGAGGTGCCAGCACCAAGGGGTTAAACAAAATTGAAAAACAGGAAGCTGAGTTTCTCTCAGTTGCTGCAGTTTGCACATCATCCGTTACTAGAGAGACAGAGACCACCATTCTGTCTGTCTGTTGACTGATCAACTGAATCATCTGCCTTGGCAAATTTTATAAGAATTGAATGAAGTACTGTATATATAAACCTAAAACTCTATTTTCTACTTGGATATCATAGGAAATGGTTAAAACCACTGTTGGTTTTTTCCCCATCCGTGTCCTACTTGGGGCATTTTCTGTCACTTCCTGTCCTACAGACACAACCGAAAGTAGAAGGTAACGCTGGGCAGACATGAGCCGAAAATAGTCAGCTCAGCAGGAACCCGCGTGTACACCTCCCTGTACAATAAAAGCCAGTCTCATGATCAGTGTCTGTCTAACAGACATGCTGGAAGAAAGTAAAAAAACAAAACAAAAAAACAAAAAAAACTTATGGTGTGTACCAGGAAATCTCTTCTAAGAGTTCTCATCAGGAAAAGTGCCCCTTTTGAAGATTAGCCCCTCTGTTTCTGATCTGGTGACATTTCCCAAACATTCAGTTCTGACGGTTTTGGCTGTCTGTAATTGTATTTTAATCATTATCACGCCCTTGCAGTAGGTTTAAATGTTTTTTTAAATTTAAAATTGGACAAACGCAACTGAACTGAAAACTAAATATGGATATGGTGATACAAATTCTGCAGAAACCAGTGTGAGTAAATGGTGTCAACAAGACTAAGACAACAGTCAATGATAAAGCAGTTTTTCTGATCCTGACAGTATCATGCCACCAAAGTACTGTCATGTGCATGCCAAAATTTGCTGAACACCTACATAGGTCCAAAAGAAAAGTAACTCACCATAAAGGGGAAGTTGGACTACACCAGTTTAAGCTATGAGCATTGACTTTCAGCATAGCAGCTGCTCTTGGGGATTTGGAGCATTATGAAGGATTTTGCTATATTTACAAGCACTCCATTTCCTCAGCAGTCCTGGATTTCCTTCTGATGTAATACTAGTGATAAGCCAACAGTAAACTCAGCAACAGCTGTCTGCTGACATACCAAGCAAGGAGCTGACAAACTTTATCACAATTTTCAATGTTGTAAACATTTACTCAGCATTATGGCCAAGGATCCTTGAAGCACAGATTTAATGCATCTTTACCTAAAACTAGCACAAGGTACCTAAAACAGACTTGATAACAGCCTCCTGTAATCCCCTGTACTCAGACTAGGACAGGAAGGGTCAGCAATTTAAGCCAAGACTCAGTTTATACAATGCTATTTATGAAAATTTGTACAAGAGGGCAGAGCAGAGGGATGGTCACATCAATGGGTTTCCCATCATTGTCCAACAGGCTTGGTGCATCTCAGACCAGACTGTATTGCTTAGATAGTGTGTAGTCTGCAAAGAGGTCTGCCAGATTTGCAGATAAAACAGGTCACATATAAGTATTTCAACAGCCTAGGAAGAAAACTATTCAGCTTCAGTGAGCTTAAGATGACACATGGCCACTCCATTAATTTGGAGGAGAAGTGTAAACTGCTCATGGGATTCTTTACTGTTAGCAGAGAACTGTAAACTGTGCAGAGATCTCGTTACTGTTAGAGCGGAAGCATCAATAGTTTAAAAAAAAAAACTTTTAAATGAGCATCTTAGTGAATGCAATATTTAGGGATATAGGAAATTGTATTGACTTAAACAAACACATACACACACCCACATTGATTGTACTGGATGGTGTCTTTATTCAGCCTTACCAACTATGTAACTATGTGTATTGACAGTGAAGGAAATAAGTATTTGATCCCCTGCTGATTTTGAATGTTTGCCCACTCACAAAGAAATGATCAGTCTAAAAATCGAATGGTAGGTGTATTGTAACACTGAGAGACAAAATAGCAACACAAAATTCATCTTTCGTCTAACAAATTATGCACTGATTTGCATGTTCTTGAGGGAAATAAGTATTTGATCCCCTATCATTCAGCAGGATTTCTGGCTACCAGGTGTCTTTCATACAGATAACAAGCTGAGATTAGAAGCAGTCTCTTAAAGGCAATGCTGCTAATCTCATTTTGTTATCTGTATAAAAGACACCTGTCCTCAGGGGCAATCAAACAATCAGATTCCAAACTCTCCACCATGGCAAAGACCAGTCCAAGGATGTCAGGGACGAGATTGTAGACCTACACAAGGCTGGACTGGGCTACCAAACTATTGCCAAGCAGCTTGGTGAGAAGGTGACAACAGTTGGTGCAACCATTCACAAATGGAAGAAAGACAAAACAACTGTCTCCCTAGGTCTGGTGCACCATGCAAGATATCACCTCGTGGAGTGTCAATGATCATGAGAACAGTGATGAATCATTCCAGAACTACACGTGAAGATCTTGCCAATGATCTCCAGGCAGCTGGGACCACAGTCACCAAGAAAACAATTGGTAACACACTACGCCGACAAGGATTGAAATCCTGCAGTGCCCACAAGGTCCCTCTGCTCAAGAAAGCACATATCCAGGCCCGTCTGAAATTTCCCACTAAATATCTGAATGATGCAGAGGACGACTGGTTGAAAGTGTTGTGGTCAGATGAGGCCAAAATCGAGCTCTTTGGCATCAACTCAACTCGCCATGTTTGGAGGAGGAGGAATGCTGCCTATGACCCCAAGAACACCATCCCAACTGTCAAACATGGTGGTAGAAACATTCTGCTTTGGGGGTGTTTATCTGCTAAGGGGACAGGACAACTGCATCAAAGGTACGATAGACAGGGGAATGTACTGTCAAATCTTGGGTGAGAACCTTCTTCCCTCAGCCAGGGCATTGAAAATGGGTCGTGGATGGGTGTTCCAGCATGACAATGACCCAAAACACACGGCCAAGGCAACAAAGGAATGGCTGAAGAAGAAGCACATTAAGGTTCTGGAGTGGCCTAGCCAGTCCAATTGAAAATCTGTGGAGGGAGCTGAAAGTTCGAGTTGCCACACATCAGGCACCAAACCTTAATGACTTGGAGAGGATCTGCCGAGAGGAGTGGGCCAAAATCCCTCCTGAGATGTGTGCAAACCTGGTGGCCAACTACAGGAAACGTCTGACCTCTGATTTCCAACAAGGGATTTGACACCAAGTACTAAGTCATGTTTTGTGAAGGGGATCAAATACTTATTTCCCTCATGAACATGCAAATCAGTGCATTTCTTTTGAATTTTTTGTTGCTATTCTGTCTCTCAGTGTCACAATACACCTACCATTCGATTTTTAGACTGATCATTTCTTTGTGAGTGGGCAAACATTCAAAATCAGCAGGGGATCAAATACTTATTTTCTTCACTGTAGCTGTTTGCATAGATTTCAGTTTTAAAGGAAACCATAATAAGAGAAATACAGGGGATGCCATATAATGCTGGCTACCTGGGTAACTAAATGTCTCTTCTTTTGAGAGAAGGGAAGGATTAGAGCCACTGTCAGGTTTTATTGCCATCTATTTATCTATTGCAGAGCCCTCCTCCCCTTCCAGTCAAGGGCAGGAATTGACAGGAAATTACAACAGTGACATAGATACAATCAAAAACCTTTTTCTTTTTTTTTAGCAATGTGAGGAACAGTTAGAACATTTTTCTGTATGTGCCTTCCTTTATCAGTGACTATTATATTACTCATTCTTGCAAAGGGTATGAAAGGGATAGAAAGTGAGGGAAATAAACAGATAGACAGAAAACCAGGTCAGAAATAGGTTGTCCCCACTCTATCCAAAACAAAAAATGTTTTGCTGGAGTTGGTCTTTAGACCAAATTGCCAACAATGAGCAGCTTTTGAGTAAACAGACCATAAACAAAAAGGGAACCAGATATTCAGTATAATGAATGATAAAGATAATCTGAACCCATCTTTGCTTTTTAATATTAGCTCATTAATACAGCTAAAGAATTTAAGAACTTTAATAACTCACAAGAGATTAACAGTTAAGGAGACATAGTAGTTTACAGATTATACAGTGAGTATATGTGTATTCACAAACAAGCTATACAAAACACGGAGTGGATAAAAATCTATATACAACTGAGAAAGAAAGAGTACTGTACTTACAATATGCAACAGCTTAAGGACGTCTACAAACCTGTTAAAAATAAAAAATAAAAAAATTGTGAAAATCAAAAATATCCTACGCGTCTATAAAAAGTCTGTAAAATACTTACACTTTCTCTGAGCTCATGATCTCTTTAGCAATGTAGTATATTTTCGTCTTCTTTCTTGGTCTCTTTTCCTGCATACAAAAATTCTTATGTTAATGGAAACTGCTGCACCCACCACACACACACATTCTGATAAAGTGATAGGCAGCAATAAAAATATAGCAGATTTTTACACTTTATTGTCTTACTAAAAGCACTGTCTATGTCTCCATTGTAGTGCTTTGACCATCACTTCTTGGTACAGGAAGTAGGGGAAAATCTTCCAATGGGGACACAGACAGCAAAGAAAATATGTGCCAGAGGTCGGAACCCTTTAGTGTGTTGTCAACTAACAACCAGAAGCCATATACCCTTACATAACCAGCATGTCTAAGGACACAATGGGGTGCATTTACTAAAGACAGTGCAGCTGCATTCATTTTCCCCAGAACTTCGTGAATGTGGTGAAGCTCTGCTAATTTACATCACCCAATCACGTGCAAGCAAAAATGCTTTTTTTTTTTTTTTTTCATTCTTCTTATGCCTGATTGGGTATTCTTTACAAACTGATGCTTTACCGCATTTACTAAGCTCTAAGGAAAATAAGAGCAAAAGAACTTGCAAAGTGCACAGTCTATTAGCCTTTAGTAAATCCACCCCAGTGGTTGTTATTCATCATTAGAGAGATTGAAAGGACAACACCCCAGAACCCAAAACAAAAAAAAAACATTAGCTGTCTTACAAAAGCTGCCTAGATGTATGGTGTAGCTGGGGGTTTAAGGCAATTACTCATTTTGTGCTCCCCCCCAAATACTGGTGGGTGCTTTTGAAATGCAAAATATTGCAAAATCATCTATGCCATATGGCACACTTAAAAATAAAATATTTTAAGCTGAGAACAAAAAAGCTTACACTTTACATTCTTATTTTACTGTGTAATATTTATTGTTGCATGATACCAAAAATGCTATATTTGAGTGTTAAATGTTGAAATGGGGAACAATCCTTGGTGCGATCTTACAAAATATGTGGGTTGTCTGGAACTGGGTCAGAGGTATGGATAACACAGCTGTCAGCTGCACAAGAATTTGTTTGCTACATGTATTCAATTTGAATATCCCTAATGATTTGTTTTTATGATGCAGATTTATCCGTGAACAGCAATGTTTGCAAATAACTAAGAAACTCCAATTATGCACATTCAAAAATTACATAGACAAAAAAACTCTGAATACATTTAATCAATGTTCATTTATATGTTATATTCTTTATAGTGTATAATTATTACAAAGCTAGATTTATGAAGAGATCTTTCAGCAAACTCACATAACCTACTGTAGCTTTTGCAAATACATTTAATATATATTGTATTTTCAGTAATTAAGTTATTGTAAAGTTTACATAACAGTAATTTGGCTGTTTTTTTTTTTATAACAACCATCAAATAAAAATATATTTTTATTAAGCTATTTCATATAAACGGTTTAGTCCACATTTAGTGGCTGACTGCTTGTTAAACACAGATGTTAAGGAGAATCTGTCACTTTGTCTATTCAGAGCAACCCCCACCCACCTATATTCATTGATCTGCTCCCCGCTGGTCTATTGAGAGCCCTTCATGAACATCTGGTATTACCAAGTGGGTATAGAGAAGCACATGACTTTCTCCCAGGAAGCATTGTTCGGGCCTGAGTGGCCAATTGCAAAAAAAAGTTAATGTGAGGAGGAGAATCTCATGTCAACACCAATGAGGAGCTTGATTAACACCTACAGCTACAGAGAAATGCAACAGAGAGGAAGGTGAATGTAAGCGGGTGGTGGAGTTGTTTTTTTTAAAAGGAACCTGCCACTTTGCCCTAAATACAATGTCTAAGAAATTTGTTTAAAGGAGAAGTAGGGCCAAATATTTTTTGGCCCTACTTCTCCAATGGATCACAGGTGTGCAGTTGGTTCTGCATGTCCAGTGTCATCTGATGTCACTCAGCTGGTCTACGTTCAGGAAAGATCCTGACTTTATAGTTTGGATCCACTCAGATTCCCGATCTGACAGCTGGATCAGCCTCTCAGCAAGACCTGCAGAGGACCTTAGCCAGTCGCTATCCCAGCCCCTGCAAAGCCCAGGGCAGTCACTGCTTTGTGCACAGAGAAGAGGGGACACCCAAGCGATTAGCGGTGTGTGATCACACAGTTCTCAGTGCAGAGCCAAAGGGGGGACACCTAGGCAAGTATAATTTTTTTTTTTTTTTCAAACCCCATACTTCTCTTTTAAAGTGGAATTCGAGCTCATCGCCAATTATTCTTAAAAATATTCCTTCCCCTCCTCCTCCTACCTACCCTGTGTGAAAAAGATCTGTATACTTACCTTTTTCTAGTCCGCTCCAGTCATGTGATCATGCAACTCCGGCTCCCCTGTGCCAGTGAGCAGTGGCTGCAGGGGAGAGGGCAGAGCACCGGCAATGGCTGGGCCATAGGAGACGTCACAGCTCCCAGAATTCCTAGCTGTATAATACAGGTGAACTAAAAAAAAAGGTAAGTATATAGATCTTTTTTACACAGTGTAGGCAGGATAGGTAAGAGGATGGGGGGAACATTTTTAAGAATAGCTAGTGTTAGGCTTCTTCTTTGGCCATGTAGACATTGTTATGACAGTAAAGCACTGTGTTGTATTACTAAACAGGAAGCAGAGCATGCTTATGTTAGACGCAAACAGAGCTTCCTTCATGTTAAAAAAAGAAACTTTTTCTATTTTGTCTGCCAGTACTGTTAAGTCAGTGTATACTCATTGTGACCCTTTGGATAGTGGCTTTGTCCATTGGGTATACTTTCCAAGGTACAGATATTGAACTTAGTTCTGAGGTCATGTGCCGGAAATTCATACTGGGTACCGTCTGAACACAATACAAACATTATAAAGAATGAAACACAGGGCCCTAGTCTTTCAGGACGGCTCAGTGATAATCACCACAGCCTAACAGCACTATTACACCTTTTTAATTTGTTATTTGGGCAATTAGACTGCTGTTGTAGTATAATGGAAAGCTGCTGTAAAACTTTGAGCTGGAAAAATACTTTTTTTTAAAATACATTTTTAGCTGTATGCAAACAAAAATATCATGGCTCATCAATGGCTTTAAGTCACTGCTTGCTGATAACTTAAAACAGCTTTTTTCAACCAGGGTGCCCAGACACCCTGGGGTGTCTTCAGACTTCTTTAGGGTTGCCTCAGCAAAATGCCCAAAAAATTTATACAAGTCAGCAGGTGTATCAATCCTGCCTTTTAGTACACAAAGCCACAGGTTTTCATTATGCACTTTTATGACCTAACAACCAATGACATCATCAGTTCATAAGGACGACATTGGGTGTATGCACATCATTCTTGCTTGGCCCTCTCTCCTGCCCCTCTCCATCAGCACTGGGGTCATATGAGCAGAGTGAGGGAGAGAAACTGAGAGCGACACACTGGAATACTAGTTGGTACCAGTGTGCAGAGGTGTATTTGCTTTGTAAAAATAAATCACCTCTAACGTTGGTTTACTGGATGTGTGTAGAATAGTTTTTTACTTTTCAGAATGGGTGCCTTGAAATTGTGCAAAATTTTAAAGGGTGCCTTGAGATTATCCATAATTTTAAAGGGTGCCTTGACTGAAAAAAGGTTGAGAAACACTAACCTAAAATATACACAAGGTAGTGTTTTTGGATCTTGTTATACTGGAGCCAAAATCATTGGTGGTGAAACTCACAGCTTTATATTGATCAAATCACTATACAAATAATTATTTATCTATGGGAGAAACTGATTTTGCAAGCACAGGATGTGGACACGTTAAAGGAAATAAAGAGCATTTACCCTGGAATTGGTTAAGAAACACTACTGGTTAATATTTTAAAGGTCAAGTCAAAATAGTTTTGAAATGATGGTAATGGTGGATTGGATTACTCACTGGTATGCTACATTTTTAGGGACTCCACCAATTCAATCTTCCAACTAAAGTTCCCATTTCTACTGGTGACATTGCAAAGTCAAGTGAGAGAATCTCATTCCTGCTGTTACATTCTCTGAAATGTAAGATAATCAGACATTCCAGAAGCAAAAACCTCTGTAAAAAGCATAAACCTCCCGAAAAGCCAAACACCATAAGTTAGGAAATGAGGTGTCTCTTTACCAGAGTCCCTCAGAATAAACAGTATGCAAAATAAAATCACCAATATCAGCCAAAAGAGGCAATTACATCTTCTGGATTAGACTGTAAATTGACCGTTGAAGAGTCGATCAATGAATGGTGCTTCTGAGCAATGAGAAATGTCTTTATATGTGCTGATCTTCCCTTGTATTATAAAATCACTGAATCACCATTTGCTAATCTTTCCCTTTGCTTTGAAGAAAAGGAAATAAACCATAGTCCAGGTGTATTGGTATACAAGCTGAGTTGATGAAATAATAGCAGATGGACCAAGTGCGAGAGAAGTCTCAATGAGTTAGGCAGATCTCTCATTACATGATCTCATAGAAAGATCTGCTTATATTTACAAAAATTTCCAGTGCATGATACACATTTGAATAAAACATTATTCACGGACACCATACTGTTATAACACAGTGGTACCTCGGTTTATGAATGCCTCGGTTAACGGAATTTTCAGCTTACGAATGAAAATCCATTGAAAATAATGCCTCGGTTTACGAATTTTTTACGAATTAGTTTCGCAATACAAAGCGTATGTCGGTGCTAATTTTTAAATGCAATTGCCAGGTTTTTTTTTCATTGATGTCACATGGGGTGGGATCACATGCGTGATGTCCCTAGGAGCCCCCCCATGTTGAGGGCATGTGGCCTGGTATGGTTCAGGAGGGAGGGGCGCTTGCACCTCCCCCCCCTTTCCTGACCTGCTGGGCTGCATTCTCGGATAAGGGTCTGGTATGGATTTTGGGGGGGGCCTCACGCAATTTTATTTAAAAATTTTGGTGCGGAAGACCTGAAGGGCTTGTTATGAATGGGAGGGGGGACCCTACGCCGTTTTTTAAATAATTTTTTTAACTACCGGCAATTCTTTTACATTCAGCTGTCAGTGGGGAACCCCGCTGACAGCTGAAACATTAACACATGGTTGTCACTACTAAAATACCGCATAACTCATGTGGTATTTTAGTAGCGTTTACTTTTTTCTGACCTCAGGAACGGATTAATTGAATTTCAATGCATTTCTATGGGAAACAGCGTTTCGGTTTACAAATTTTTCACTATACGAAAAGTCCTGCAGAACTGATTAAATTCATAAACTGAGGTACCGTATATACTCGAGTATAAGCCGACCCGAAATATAAGCCGAGGTACCTAATTTTACCACAAAAAACTGGGAAAAACTATTGACTCGAGTATAAGCCGAGGGTATCAGTGGGAGGAATAGTGCCCCATCATTGGTGTCAGTGGGAGGAATAGTGCCCCATCATTGGTATCAGTGGGAGGAATAGTGCCCCATCATTGGTGTCAGTGGGAGGAATAGTGCCCCATCATTGGTGTCAGTGGGAGGAATAGTGCCCCATCATTGGTATCACTGGGAGGAATAGTGCCCCATCGTTGGTGTCAGTGGGAGGAATAATGCCCCATCATTAGTATCAGTGTATGCCCCAGTGGGAGGAATAGTGCCCCATCATTGGTGTCAGTGGGAGGAATAATGCCCCATCATTAGTATCAGTGACACCAATGATGCGGCACTATTCCTCCCACTGACACCAATGACACTTGCTGACCCCTGTTGCAGTATGGTGCTGCTTCAGCCAGCACATGTGGTTGCAGCAGCACCTCTGCACTGCACACTTACCGGCTTTTCCCTCACTCGATTTTCGCGGCTCCGCCTCCGCCCGTGATTGGCTGTGTACCTTTCCTGAGCTACAGTTCTGACGGCCAATCACCGGTGAGGAGGCGGAGCCGAGCGGCAGGAGTGAGTGAGTGGCCGGAGTGACGGAAGGAGCAGCGCTTCCTGGATGGATCATCGTGGGAGCCAGGTAAGAGCAGCCCTCTGCCCACCCCTGTACGCGCCCCCCTTGACGGAGCCTCGCGCCCCCCTGCAGACGTTGACTCGAGTATAAGCCGAGGGGGCCGTTTTTCAGCACAAAAAATGTACTGAAAAACTCGGCTTATACTCGAGTATATACGGTATTACTGTATATGCAAATGTATTAGTAAGAACCAGAATATCCTAGATATAACCAGAAGAAGAAATGCAATATATACACACCGCATATTTACATACCGATTTACATTCCAGATTATCAAGATCTGCTTTGCTGGAGTCTGAGCTAAATTCATCTTCATCTGAACTATTGAGTATTTCTTCTTCATCTGAGAGGACCATGCCCATATCATCCTCAGGATCTTCTTGAGATGCTTCACTACAAATGAACACATATAAATGATTATATGATTAGCTGACACTTTTAAGCTACTTAGAAAAAGGAAAAATTATAATAGTTAAAGTAAGTACAATCTATTTAATAGGAGTCATTCTAATGAATGTGTTAAACTTCAATGCAAATAAAAAAAGGGCATTCCCTACTATGCCAAAAAAAAAAAACTGTAAAAGTGACCTTTTACAAACACAAAGGGGTTGATTTACTAAAACTAGAGAGTGCAAAATCTGGTGTAGCTGTGCATAGAAACCAATCAGCTTCCAGGTTTAACAGCCCGGTCACATCGAGCCCGACTTTGAAATCGTGTGACTTACAGTGAAGTCACACGATTTCAAAGTCGGGTGAGATGCCGATTTCAAGTGCGATTTGAAAGACATCTGACACAGATGTCTATGCAAATTGCACCAAAAGTAGTACATGTACTACTTTAGAAATCGATGTGGCTCCGACTAAGTCGGAACCGCACCAATTTGACCGCTCTATTTGTGAACAATAAGGTGCGACTTGGCATATGATTTGAAAGTCGCATGGCATGCAAATCGCTTGCCAAGTCGCACTCGATGTGACCAGGGTGTTATTGTAAAAGCTTAATTGAGCAAGCTGAAGTTAGAAGCGGACTGGATACCATGCACAGCTGCACCAGATTTTGCACTCTTCGGTTTTAGTTTTAATGCAGGCCATACATGGGTCGAATTCCAAACAAATTTTCTTTAGAAAATCGTAAATTTTGTGCGTTTCTTAATCTGATGGTGCCACCATTGATTTTGAAATTCAACCAACCAAGCCTTTAATTTCACCTCATGTTGCTACAGAAAAGATTTTCATGGCCAAGAATTTTTTCTTTCCAGGTCACAGCTTATGCTCATTTCTTTTTCAGTTACTTTTTTCACACGATTCTTCCATCAATGATTATGAATTATAAACTTCCAACATGCCCAATCACTCAAATTTGTTGGCTGCTCGAAAATCGGCAGTTGCTGTAGCCCACTAGTGGTGCGAAATTCGAACAAAAATTCTTAGAAAAGATTTTCAAAAGAAAATTGTTTCATAATTCGACCCATGTATGGCCCACTTAAGTCTACCCCAATATACACAATATTGCCAAAAGTATTGGGACACTCCTCCAAAACATTAGATTCAGGTGTTCCAATCTCTTCCATATCCACAGGTGCAAAAAAATCAAGCACCTAGGCATGCAAACTGCCTCTACAAACATTTGTGAAAGAATAGGTTGCTCTGAAGAGCTCAGTGAATTAAAACGTGGTACCGTGATAGGATGCCACCTGTGCAATAAGCCCATCCGCGAAATTTCTTTGCTACTAAATATTCCAGGGTCAACTGTTAGTGGTATTATAACAAAGTGGAAGCAACTGGGAACAACAGCGACCCAGCCACAATGTGGTAGGCCACGTATAATGACAGAGCAGGGTCAGCGCATGCTGTAGCGCATATTGCGCAGAAGTCGCCAATGTCTGCAGAATCAATAGCCAAAGACCTCCAAACTTCGTTTTGCCTTCAGATTACCACAACAGAGCTTCATGGAATGGGTTTTCATGACCGAGCAGCTGCATCCAAGCCTTACATCACCAAGTGCAATGCAAAGTGCTGGATGTAGTGGTGTAAAGCATGGTGCCACTGGACTCAAGAGCAGTGGAGAGTTGTTCTCTGGAGTGACGGAATCACGCTTCTCTGTCTGGCAATCTGATGGACATGTCTGGGTTTGGTGGTTGCCAGGAGAACAGGACTTGCCTGACTGCATTGTGCCAAGTGTAAAGTTTGGTGGAGGGGGGATTATAATGTGGGGTTGTTTTTCAGGGGTTATGCTTGGCCCCTTAGTTCCAGTGAAAGAAAGTCTTAAGGTGTCAGCATACCAAGACATTTTGGACAATTTCATGCTTTCAACTTTGTGGGAACAGTTTGGGTATGGTCCTTTCCTGTCCCAACATGATTGCACACCAGCGCACAAAGCAAGGTCCATTAAGACATGGATGAGCGGGTTTGGGGAGGAGGAACTTGACTGGCCTGCACAGAGTCCTGACCTCAACCCGATAGAACACCTTTGGAATGAATTTGAGCAGAGACTGCAAGACAGGCCTTCTCCTCCGACATCAGTGCCTGACCTCACAAATGCTCTTCTGGAAGAATGGTCAAACATTCCCATAGACACACTCCTAAACCTTGTGGACAGCTTTTCCAGAAGAGGTGAAGCGGTTATAGCTGCAAAGGGTGGGCCAACTCAATATTGAACCCTATGGACTAAGACTGGGATGCCATTAAAGCTCATGTGCATGTAAAGGCAAGCATCCCAATACTTTTAGCAATATTTTCAAATCTTGAAGAGTTCTATTTCAACTTTATAAACTTTATGCAATTTTTAAAAAAAACTTAACAAGAAACTGTCTGTTAGTTATATAGATTCCGAGAAGCCAGTTCACATACCAACTGTATAAATGACCAGTATAAAAGCTTGCATTCTTTTTATATAATCTCTCACATGGCATTTTCTTGAATATAGGCATTGAAAGTAATCAGTCACCCTTTTATTCATATAAAAAAATAGGAATATGTCTCATGCAAGATTACATTCTGTCTGAGGTACGGTTCGGAGTACTGATTTAAAGGATAAGTTCAGCTTTCGTAATATGTTATAACCCATATTCAGGGTGTAATGTTATGAATTGAATGCCCCCCCCCCCCAATTGTGATCTTCTCCCCCCTGCTAGCTGTCACAATTTAAAGAAGTATTCTGGGAATGAGAACACTAAAATTTCCAACAGCCTTTGCGGCTGTTGGCTTGTAGTTGGCTTGTGGAGCACCATGGTAGTTCATTGAGTCTTCATGTCAGTAAGTATCTGCTTGCCTGTACAAGATGTACAGGCACACAGATACGCTGACAGGTCTGCAGGAGACCTGCTTGGCACCAGCGATCTGCTGATTGCTGGTGCAATGCTTTAGAAGCTCCAGAAACAAAAAATAATAAAATAATAATTACACATTTCTTTACCTGCAAAAAAAAATGTGCATTTAATATTTTTTGTTAAAAGGTGAACTTATCCTTTAAGAATGTATAGCTGTAATGTACTTATCTGCATCTAAACATTGGAGGCCTTAGGAGGGCAGTGTATGTTTAAGTGAACCAGCTTGACAGCCACCTACATACAATGCCTTGATATTGTATTCATACCCCTTGAAATTTTCCACATTGTCATGTTACAACCAAAAACGTAAATGTATTTTATTGGGATTTTATGTGACCGACCAACACAATGTGCAACATAATTGTGAAGTGGATGAAAAATGATAAATGGTTTTCAAAAAGTGTGGCGTGCATTTGTATTCAGCCCCCTCAGTCAATACTTTGTAGAACCACCTTGCACTGCAATTACAGCTGCATGTCTTTTTGGGGATGTCTCTACAAGCATTGCACATCTAGAGAATGACATTTTTGCAAAATAGCTTAAGCTTTGTCATATTACATGGAGAGAGCCTATGACCAGCAATTTTCAAGTCTTGCCACAGATTCTCAATTGGATTTAGGTCTGGACTTTGACTGGGCCATTCTAACACGTGAATATGCTTTGATCTAAACCATTCCATTGTAGATCTGGCTGTATGTTTATGGTCCTTGTCCTGCTGAAAGGTGAACCTCTGCCCTAGTCTCAAGTCTTTTGCAGACTAACAGGTTTTCTTCTAAGATTGCCCTGTAATTGGCTCCATCCATCTTCCCATCAACTCTGACCAGCTTCCCTGTCCCTGCTGAAGAAAAGCATCCCGACAACATGATGCTGCCAGCACCATGTTTCACAGTGGGGGTGGTGTGTTCAGGGTGATGGGCAGTGTTAGTTTTCTGCCACACATAGCGTTTTGCTTTTAGGCCAAAAACATTCAATTTTGGTCTCATCTGACCAGAGCACATTCTTCCATATGTTTGCTGTGTGTCCCCCCCCCCCCCCCCCCCCTACATGGCTTCCCACAAACTGCAAACGGGACTTCTTATGGTTTTCTTTCAACAATGGCTTTCTTCTTGCCACTCTTCCATAAAGGCCAGATTTGTGAAGTGGATGACTATTAGTTGTCCTATGGATAGATTCTCACACCTGAGCTGTGGATCTCTGCAGCTCCTCATGAGTTACCATGGGCCTCTTGGCTGCTTCTCTGATGAATGCTCTCCTTGCCCAGCCTGTCAGTTTAGGTGGATGGCCATGTCTTGGTAGGTTTGCAGTTGTGCCCCTACTCTCTCCATTTTCAGATGATGGATAGAACAGTGCTCTGTGAGATGTTCAAAGCTTGGGATATTTTTGTATAACCTAACCCTGCTTTAAACATCTCCACAACTTTATCCCTGACCTGTCTGGTGTGCTCCTTGACCTTCATGATGCTGTTTGTTCACTAATGTTCTCCAACAAACCTGTCAGTTTAGGTGGACGGCCATGTCTTGGTAGGTTTGCAGTTGTGCCATACTCTTGGCCTTCATGATGTTGTTTGTTCACCAATGTTCTCTAACAAACCTCTGAGGGCTTCACAGAACAGCTGTATGTATACCGAGATTAAATTACCGTATTTTTCGCTTCATAAGACGCACCTCACCATAAGACACACCTAGGTTTTAGAGGCAGAAAACAGTAAAAAAAAATTCTGAACTAATGGACTGCAGACATAGTACAGGAGATGACCAGAGACTGTGGACAGTACAGGGATGACCAGAGACTGCGGACAGCACAGGGATGACCAAAGACTGCGGACAGTACAGGGATGACCAGAGACTGCGGACAGTACAGGGATGACCAGAGACTGCGGACTGCGGACAGTGCGGACAGTACAGGGATGACCAGAGACTGCGGACAGTACAGGGATGACCAGAGACTGCGGACAGTACAGGAGATGACTGCTGACCTTTGGGGGGGGGGGGAGGGGGGAGCGGCTACCTGAATTTGACAGGTACCCGCTCTTACTTTCGCGGAGTTGTTCTTTAATCTTACCTGTTCCTCTATCCAGCCACGCGCTGTCTTCCCGGCTTCTGTAGTGTCGGCGCTCGGCATGACAGCCGGGTACCCAGTGCGCATGAGCGAGAAGCACTTGCGCTTTGTGATTGGTCCGGCGGCTTATGGGATCTGTCATGTGTCCCAGGTACTGCCTTACCATTCACAAAAAGCACCGCTTCTTGCGCATGCGCATTTGGCACCCGGCTGTCAAGCCCAGCGCCCACACTACACAAGCCGGGAAGACAGCGCGCCGCTGGATAGAGGAACAGGTAAGGTCAAAGAACAACTCCGCGGAAGTAAGAGCGGGTACCTGTCAAATTCAGGTACCCGCTCCCCACCTCCCCAAAGGTCAGCAGTCATCTCCATAAGGTCCCGCTGAAGAGCTGAGTGGCCGGCCCGGTATTCTGACACGGCGGCGGTGGAAATACCGGACCCGCCGCTCCATAAGACGCATTAACATTTTCCCCCCTTTTTTGGGGGGAAAAAAGTGCGTCTTATGGAGCGAAAAATACAGTACACACAGGTGGACTTGATTTACTAATTAGGTGACTTCTGAAGGCAATTGGTACCACTAGATTTTAGTTAGGGGGTATCAGAGAGTAAAGGGGGCTGAATACAAATGCACGCCACACTTTTCAGATATTTAGTTGTAAAAAATTTCAGATATTTATTTTTAAAAAAATGCTGAAACCCATTTATCATTTTCCTTTCACTTCACAATTAGGTGCCACTTCATGTTGGTCTAGCACATAAAATCACAATAAGATACATTTAAATTTTTTACTTGTAACATGACAAAATGTGGAAAATTTCAAGGGGTATGAATATTTTTTCAAGGCACTGTATCATGCCAAAACATAGCTGCAATTATGCTAGCTGTGTATCCTCTTAGAGGACAGCAGTTGCATGGACCTCACAGACAGAATACCTCGCTACAAAAGGATTTCTCAGTAACTGTGAGCCAAGACATACTACATTTGGGTTTACTCGATGACCAATACATATATGTAATCCCTTCTCTCTGCTTCAAATGGTGAAAAAATCTAAAGTGAAATAAAGAAGAAAGAAATCCTCCTAAAACTAGTGCTGCTATGTTAACCCCTCTTTAAACAAATATATTAAAATCAAACAATAAGTGCTCAAATCAATGGTAGTGCTGTGATAAGTAAATAATCAGAAAAATCACGTGATCAAAGTGAAATAAATAAAAATGAAAATATACATATATACAAAATATAAAAGTCCAGCATGTAGAGTCCCAAAAAACTTTGAAATAGTTTTGTAAACACAAAGTCCACATCTGTGTCTTCTTTCCACTTTAAATACACCACCAAGAGTGCCTTCAGTGTCTACCACCAATCAACCCAATCCAGTGCGACTCACCAGATCATATTGCCTCCCATATTTCCGATAGGCAAAAGTACTTTAGAACAGTATCCAAACCAGATTTAACTTCTCCTCAACAGGAACCTTTCCTTTGATGACCAGTTTAAATCACAGAAAATAGATATTGGGTCAGATTTCGGGTTTTTACAGTTAATTTCTAGGCTAGAAGAAGTTTCACTAGATGCATGAAAAGCTAGATAAGGCCTGGCCCTATTGCAGGTAAATGGAGTCTTCACAGATAATGCCTATACTTGAAGAAATTTCACTGTATAAATTGC